TCCTCCTGGTTCCGCAGCATCTTCACAGTTCCACTGTGAACTCGTGACTGACTCGCCATGACCCAAACTCTTCCAAATGGCTTCTGTTGGGGCATCAGCCCCTGCAGCTGACAGCCTTCAGGGCAGGATCATTCCTCAGTGGAGCCTCTAATGGGCCCAGCGTGTTCATGTGCGGCAGGTGATGTCATAGGTCAAAGGTTAGTCTCCGCATTGATTAGATGTTCAGTCAACTATGGCCCATGGAAATGGGTCTAAAGCACAGCTGTTTTAAGGGCTGAACTTTGAGCAGGACTGTGGGTGGGGCAGGCAACGCCCTTGACATTTAGCGTATGACAGAGAATCATATTAGACCTGCTAATGGAACAACCATGTGTTGACATACGTGTAATCTGTATACTGTATATTTAAATGTGCATAGTGTGTTCCTATATATACAGACATGTGTGTGCATGTATGTAAGTGTGCTTGTATCTATGTAGCAACATTGAGGTGAAATGTGCATGGACATGGAACAATTGGCACGAAATTTTCAGAAGCATGAAACTGAGTCAGTAATCATTCCTGTTGTTTAAGAAAATTCCATAGGAAAGAAAATGAAGAGGGTCTGTTCATTCTCATCTTTGTAATGAAAGCCAGGAAATAACAGAAATGCCTAAATATAAGCTAATATTCTCAATATGATGGTCATTTACTAAAGGGAATTTTATACATTTGAAATGTTCGTTGAGACTTTAACAATGGTGAAAATGTTTATGTGGGAAGGTTGGAAAAAATACAGACTGCTTTGTGATGCTCACAATTGTGTAAAACCGAAATTGACATTTGAAAATGCCCCAGAAAAATGAAAATGACATGTGGAGTAGGGGAGGGGGCTTTCTCAAAAGCTTCTTTACAGCTATTATATTGCTTTGACAATTGAAACTCAAGCAGTCGTTTGGAAACAGAGCGATACAGGGAGATAGTTTTGGTGGTGGAGTCGACGTTTCCAGGGACAATTAGTGCACTTTTCACGACATCTTTGGTGATTAAGCGGGTCGGGGGCAATGTCTCACTTGTACGGGCTGCACTGTTCCTAGGCTGAGGCCCCAGTCTTCTCCCTGCCTGCGGCCTTTTCTTTCTTTTTTAAACCGCAAACCTGGAGGTTAAGGCCTTAACTGGACAAGAGCATGTGCTCCGGAATTAGACCGCAGTGGGCTGAGCCCTGGCTCTGGGGCTTTGCTCAGACGTCTCCACCCCGCTGAGCCTGGTGTCCCGACTGTGGGCATCAGGGACAGTCAGCACCCTGCCCTTGGCCAGCACTCAGCAGGGCAAGCGCTCCCTGAGTCCTGGCAGCTGCTGGGTGTCATACATCCCACAGTGACATCCTCAGAAGTATGGACAGAAGCTCAAACCCAGGCCTCGGTGGGAATGCTGGTTCTGAGAGTCCCTGTAGTGTGACTCTGATTTTCAGTGAAGAATGAGGTAGAGTTACAGTAAAGACAAATGGAGTCATCACTGCAAAATGACTTTGCAACCTGTAAAATGCCTCCCAAGCAGCAGTGTTCCCGGTGATCACTAAGAGTGACCCTGGGGGGCACCAGGCCCTCCTCCCCACCATCTCCCTCACACCTGCCTGTTGGGACCACAGTAGGACCTGGGCTCTGGGCTCCGGAGGACACCCAGGACAGTGGGGCCCCTCCAGCCCTTACCCGCCATGCTTCTGGGCCTGCCGAGAGCCCGGCAGAGAGGGCCCTGCAGTGTCCACGTGCAGGGCCTCCACCCGCGGGTGACTGCTGTCTCTCCTTCCTCTGTCTCAGGGCGCAGCGTGGACCCTGGCCTGGCTGGTCTGCTGGGGCAACAGGCACCGGGCTCCAAACAGCCTTTCATGGTCACCTTTTTCAGGGCGGGCCCCAGCCCCATGCGAGCCCCTCGGGCGGCGAGGCCCCTGAAGAGGAGGCCACCGAAGAAAACCAATGAGCTGCTGCACCCACACAAACTCCCTGGGATCTTTGGTGAGGCCTGGGGCTGGGGCTGAGGCGGGCTTTTGGTGAGAACCAGGTGGTGGCCTCACAAGCCTTTGGGGTCTCAGTAGGGCTCAAGTCGATGGTCCCCCCCCACCCCGCCACCTTCCTGACACAAGCCCCGAGAGGACCGGCC